GGAAGAAAATACCTAACTGGTAACCACTGGAACCCAGTCTTCCATTGCCTTAGCGATGGCCGGTTGCGCTCAGAAATTATCACGTGCCATTTTCAAAGTTAGCCGGCCACGTATTTGAAACTATTACTAGGAATCAACAACAAACCCATTGCGTTTTTTTTCTGAACGCTCTTACGTGAGTGTGTCTTCAACGCAGGGGGAAGCCCCTGCTGCCGGGTGCGAAAGGCCCAGCCGCATGTCTGAATAATCACGTGCGGGTGATAGAAACGCTCCCCGCGGGCCAGCTCTGCGCTGGCAAGTGTCCTAGCTCAGCCACGTGCCGCGACCGCCCGCCCGCCTGCTCTCACGGGGGGGGGCAGTGAAATTGCACGGGTTTACATGCACAAGGAAGAGAAGTGGAATTAATCGCAGCCTAAAAATTTATGCTTCCTAACAGCAGATTTAAAATGGGGGGGTGATGCGGGGGTAACAAGCATAAATGACACTGTTTTCTTAACAACACATAACCTTTGCAGTGGCAACTAACAGAACCATCCAGAAGGCACACAGATACAAGTTGATTGTTGTTAAGTGGACAAAGAGCGCAGCATATTATATGCTATGCAAAACGTTGCAAAAATGCACATTTTAGCTGAAAGAAAAGCTTAAAAAACTATTCTACCAAGCAGATATTGCTGTTATTTTCTCTGCAGTTTGCAACTTACAAAGCTGGGGGATGGATCTGCCCAGCGAAAGAGTGAGACAGCATCAAAACTCTTTCAGTGTTGTGTTTTTTCCTTTCTGTCTCTGGCCCATGTCATCTCCTTGTCATCTATAATCAAGAGGAGTTTGATTTCCGACGTATTCTCTCCTGTTAACAAATTTGAAGACCAACGTTCACCATGAACTACAAGTGGGAGAATGTTGTCCACAGGCAGAGAAGCCCAGCCCAGATTGTCACGGTGCTGTAGTGCAGTCTTCGGGGCCAAAAAAGAAAACCAAAAGCCCCAGCGGTTGCCGCACAAGCTCCAGCTTGCCTACACAAGCTTGCCTGCGCTCTTCAGCCTGTGCCGCAGGTGCCACCTGCACCGCCAAGGGGTGACAGCTCGTGAAACGTTACCTTCAGCCAGCCTTGGATGTAGCCTTTTTAGCAGATGGAACTAGGACACTGGGATTTCATTACAGTTTCTCAAGCGAAAAAAAACCACCAGAGACCAGAGGACTTCATAGATCTGTGCCCTAGTTCAGTTGTTTCTTTTGGGAGGGGTTCTTTGATAGCATTTTAATTTGACACCTCTATTTTCCCACGTACGTATAGCTGATCCTATGAAGAATTACGGGAGAAAAGAGAGAAAGACACTCAAGCGGCTGAGACAGCAACCAAAACGACAGCTCCAGCCAGGTGGGTTGTCCGCCTTTTTGTGTAGCCTCTTGAAGCTCCTGTGCGAAGCAGTTGGAGCTGTCATCGCCAGTTCTGCGCAGAGCTGCTCCCCACTCCGCACGCTGCTCTCCTCTGGGGTCTGACACGGCCAGACAGCCGTCACCGTGAGGGTATTGGTGGAAGAATGAGACCCCACCTGCAGTGCTGCCTCCAGCTCTGAGGCCCCCAACACAAGAATGACATGGACCTGTTGGAGCGGGTCCAGAGGAGGGCCACGAAGATGGTGCGAGGGCTGGAGCATCTCTGCTGTGAGGACAGGCTGAGAGAGTTGGGGGTGTTCAGCCTGGAGAAGAGAGGGCTCCAGGGAGACCTTAGAGCCCCTTCCAGTGCCCAAAGGGGCTACAGGAAAGGTGAGGAGGGACTCTTGATCAGGGAGTGGAGCGATAGGATGAGGGGTAACAGTTTTAAACTGAAAGAGGGGAGATTTAGATGAGATATTAGGAAGGAATTCTTTACTGTGAGGGTGGTGAGACACTGGCACAGCTTGCCCAGAGAAGTTGTAAGTGGTCAGTGCCCCATCCCTGGAAACATTCAAGGGCAGGTGTGATGGGACTCTGAGCAACCTGATCCAGTTGAAGATGTCCCTACTCGTTGCAGGGGGGTTGGAACTGGATGATCTTCTCGAGGTCCCTTCCGACCCCCCCCAGCCGTTCCCTGATTGCAAGAAGGTACGCGGCAGATGTCGGACACCAGCGGTGACTCGCAGGCGGGAAAAGGGGATGGCCTGAGAGTGAGCCCCGTTCTGTTGGTGCGCCTGCGCACTACCTGCATGTCTGTGGCGGTGACGAATACCCGCCCCGCGCTCACCCGCTCGGCCCGGGGGCGTCTCGGCGGAGAGGAAGGCGTGAGGCGGCGGCGGGTGGGGCGCCCACAGCGCCCGGCACTCTCTGCCGGCGGCCCGGGGGCCTTGC